AGGAGAGCCACTGAGTTTAGTGCAATACCCGGAGGAAAGGCTCCGGGAGTGGACGCAGGTCACTATAAAATCTGGTGTGTTCTTTCTTATTGCATTTCCACATTTAATTTTCGCACTTTATTTTATGTGTGTGATTGTTTGGTTTAGACCGTGATTTCTATTTGAGAATTTTTAAAACATCAATTCAACCCCCCCTCTTGGTTATCCTCAGGCTAATTCATAAGGGCTTAACATCCCTAACGAACTTTCAACATTAACTTAATTCCTCTATAATTCACACACTTGTGCATCACTTTTATTCTTAAAAATAGAAATCACTTCATCTCTGCTCATCTGATATCTTTTTAATATTCAAAATAATATTGAAAAGTTTAACAAGCCAAAAAATTCTTTCATCACCTAAGCATTTCCACACTTTACTAAAATATCATCAGGTCTAACAGTTTTTTCACATTTCATTATTCTTTAAAACCTCTCTAACTTCAATTTTACTAATACGCCAATAAAAATTAAAAATTTTTATTTTTATTTAGGGTGATAAGGCCACTAAAGTTAATTGTATTCTCATAAAAGATTAACAAAATATATCATCCACCTTTGCTAAAAATCCTCTTATAAAAAAAGCATTTTTTTTATATTAATCTTTAAAGCGCTTCACTTGAGCTAAACCCTTCTCATATCTCTTTGCTTGACTCATTTATACATACATCTTTCGCCCTCCTTAGTATCTAGTATATTATATAAATCATTAAAAACTAAAGTTGTGCATCGCATATTACTTTCTTAGACTTTTACGTGACTCTTATATCTTTCCCATTTTGAAGTTTTTATATTTAATCTAATTTTTATAACAAAACTTCTTATTTTTTATATTTTCTTACACATTTTGATTCCACAACAAACTATTTTACTATTAGGAGCTTTTACTCCCACAATTAAAACATTAAAACTAAAAAAAATAGAAACAACAAAAGTTTGGAAACACATAAATTGAAGGATAAAGAGATATAAAAGCTAGATAAATACAATAAGACGGGAGCTCCCAAGACACATCAAGAGAACTCTATCATCACTTGGCTTCCTCTTAAACCCTTAAAGAAAGAGAAATCTTAATCACTCATAAAAGGATGAGATGTAACGCTAGCCGACAAAGGAAGCTTAAAAATCAATTTCTTTCAATATTTCATAATCAAGCTACCAACAAAACCTAGGTCTCCTTTATAATAATAAAAAAGACAGAACTTTTCCAGTTAAAAACTTGCATGATGTAAAATGAAAAAAAATAAATCCTTCTACAAAAAAGCCCCACCAAAAACTTTAAATAAACCTATCATATTATAAAATGACAAAATATAACAATATAATAAGAAAAATAAACCAACATTTTATGATGATGGTCGGGCCTTCTTGTTTTGCATCACTTGTGTAGGCCCAAAAAATGTGGCAAACGCACTAAATGTAGACGAGGCAATGCAACAAACTTTAGAATGTGAGCAACAAAGAATGAGTAGCAAGAGAGGCACTTGATCTCTAGAAGAATGACGATAAGGTTTAGGCCAAGAGGAAGGGCTAACTCAGCCAACACTTGATGTTGAGCCTAGACTAAAGTAGCAAATGAACCGAGCCGAGTTGAGCAGGTGTCTATTCATATTTTAGTTCATTTATTATCAACTTATTCAGGTTCAATTCGAGCTCGTTCGAGCTTTTCTATTGTGTTCAACTTCGTTCGCTTAAATTAATGGATGTTCATATTTGATTTGTATTTGGTTCATGTTCGATTCGTTTCATGCTTTTCGAACTTTAAACAAACGAGTCTTATCAAGTAATAAATGAGCTCTATTTATAAATGTTCATTAGTTTTACAAACAAACCTCACCGAAAACACACACTTCCTACATTATAATAAAACCAATGATGCATCACATATTACAAAGATATTTTCAAAAAGATTATGAGACTAAAGAGAATGCCAATACCATAGTATCTAACAGAGATGTTAGATTCATTTCTTATTTTTAGAAAACTTTAGAAGTTGATGGGGATTTGACTTGAATTTTACTTGGCATTTAATCCCCAAAATGATGGGCAAACAAAGGCATTCAACATATTACTTGAGAATCTATTGAGTTGTTTAGCATAGAAGAGCATAATATATTAGTATTTGCACTTGGCCACTTCAAAATTTGCCTACATAAGTATAATATTAAAAACAACAAGGCAAGCGTCATTTGAGATGGTATATAATTTTAATCTCAAAAGACTTCTTCACATAGATGATGTTCCTACACATGAATTCCGAATTTTATTTAGTGCAAAAGATTTTAATGGTTTACATTAAACTGTTAAGAAAAAAAATTGAACGAAGTAACATTAGGTATGCTAAATTAGTAAATAAAACAAAATCTAGAAAGGAATATAAAGAAGATGATTATGTGACAATTCAAATCAAACCTAAAAGAAATACCTCCAAATTCAAAAAGCTTTATGCAAGGGCATGTGGCCCTTTAAAAATTCTTAGAAAAATTGAACCCAATTCATATTTTCTTGAATTGCTACATGACATGCATATAAGTCCTATAATTAATATTACAAATATATTGACATTTCAGGAAAAAATATTATATAGATATTTTGAACTAATCCCTTTGTGGATGGACAAAGCAAACAAATGCAAGTGGATATTCAACCCACATTCTCAAAGTCGAGAATATAGTGATAGATGAAGCACTAGCAGATGACAGTGCGAACACAAGTTTTTAGTGAGTTGGAAGGGCAAACCAACCAGTATTGATACATGACTTATAAGAACTGATTTGGGGAAGTTGGCACCAAATTGTATGGAAGACTAACTGGACTTCAACTATTCATTGAAAAAAATTTTGAATGCTAGAGGAATTGATCGATCACAGGAAACATCTAAAGACTATCATAAGAAGTCAAAGTGATGTGATACCACATGCGAAGGAGCTTGTTAAGAAATTTTCGAATGATTGATAAAGCAATTTCGATTAATAACTTATTGAGATAACAAGCAAAATTCCTCAAAGAATTCTTAGTTTTCAACTAGCTTAGGCGAGGAAGTACATGTAGAATAGCTAAACTCAAAGATAACCAAAGATAGTAGCAATACCAAAAGCTATTAATCAACAATCCACAACTTAATAACGAGAGTTTTTACCTTGGAGAATGTATCACTCAACTACACTAGGCTTAGCGGAAGAAGGATTTTAGCAAACCCGATGATGCCACGAGAACGGTAGCAACCACAACGAACTTGATCCACGGGAAGGTTATCGGTGTCGAGGATGATGGAAATGATCGACTGTCGATGCTCCAATTGTAGTTTGGATGTCGGCGGTCGATGACACTTGCAAGGGTAGGAACCACTCATTTCAAGTAATCTCCCACGGTTGCGTCGTCTTCAAATCCTACGTCAAAGAATGGTGACCGTAGGATAGTCAAGCTTCCGTCGGCATTGAACACGAGACCCCACTCAAACTCCGAATCCGCCATGCATGCTTGATATTGGAGAATCCTTCAAAGGAGAAGAGATTTAAGTGAGGGTGAGAGAGAATCCTTGCATTGGAAGAGGGGAAGATGAGGGAGGAGAGGCCGGCGGGATTTCCAAGGAGGAAGAGAAGGTTTCGGCCAAGGTGGGAGAGGGTGGGAATCTAGGTTAGATGAGGATGGCAAGAGACTTACTCAAATCTGAAATTAAATTCAGATTTTAGTAAATTAGGAGGGAGTTATTTGAAATTATTTTCAAATTTCAAATATAATTAAGGGAGATTGATGAGCCATTAATGGAGCCCATTAAAGAAGGGGG